AGGAATGCCCTATATCTGATAAAGCCTTTAGCTGATAGATTTTTCTTTCCTTTCAGGAAGAAGAAGGAACAACTGACATTTTCAGAGAAATCCCTATGGACTCTGTTGTGAAGGAAAGCTTGCAAAGTAGGTTATCATCAGATGTGTCTGCCCTGTGTATGTTCCTGGGGATTTAGTGTTTATTTCTTCTCTGCAAGGTACTGTTGAGCTGAAAGTCCAAAAAAAGCTTCAGCTACTCCCAACTTAATTGATCAGGAGGCAGAGAGAGTCCATGGAAAAATCTCGAGTTCTGGACAAAAGTCTTTGCATTAGGCAACTAAAGCTGGGTCTACTCATTTGTCAGGAAGAAGAAGAGAGAGTTTGATTGCAGTGCAGAAGTATTTCCTGGGGGAGGAGGCACCACTCGTTAAAGAGTCTTTAATTTAGCTGTAGAAGGTGGAGCAGTAGCTTCATCCTGATGCCAGACAAACTCAGAAAGGCACAGATGCCAGCAGCGGTGGTGTGAGTCATTGGACAAGACAAGAAATTAGTGGAATCTCTCTGTTGCCATCAAAAGACACTGTGCAGCTGTCAGGGCCAGCCTGAGGGGAACCATCATTAGACTCTTCGCTGAGTTGATTCATCTCACAAAATGCAGAAAAATAATTTGGAAATAACCCCCCCTGCTGCCTTTTCAGTCGTCTGAAATGGCTCTCAATGGCTGGATTAGCTCCAGGGCCAGCGAGAGGCTGGAGTGTGCAGCTTGGAGCAGGGAAACGCGGAGCAGGATCGTCTCCTCTCAGCCTGTTAGGCCAGCTTGGCCGTATCACTGAAATATGTCCTGAGAATTACACCTTGTGTCTCTGGTGCTCAGCTTCATGCTTATCTGTCTGGTCTATAATTTCAAAATAGACCTGGTATTAGGTGAGATCCAGAGATGTTTGTCATTAGGTGTTGACTTCTTACCTCACCTGATATTTTGTATTCCCCCTAGGTTTATTTTCACCATTCGAATCTGACATGGGCTTGGGACACTCAAAACAAATGAAACTAGAAAGAAGCGAGAGCAGCGAGGAGTGTGAAAGTGGGAATTCGTCCCTGGAGGTGAATTCCATGGTCCAGATCACCTTGGACAAGGGAAATCAGGTTTCGGGAATCATCCGCTGGTTGGGCTACCTGCCTCAAATTATGCACAAAATGGCAGGAGTTGAACTGGTAAGGAGCAAAATACGTCCTGCTGTGAGATTGTATATCAGAACGGGCAGGTCTTGGTTGCTGTTTTCTTTTTGAAGTCTTTGAAGACTTTCAGCTTGTGGCTGTGAATCTCACAGTTTGACCTGGGCCTCTGACATGTCAGAGTGTGCACTGTGAGGGCAAGCACACCATTGTGCCCTCCCTTAGACTGGGGAGGAGAGCCTGCGGCATGATTATGAGGGTTGGTTTGCTCTCTTCAAGAGCAATGTTACTGGAATGTGGGAATGGAACAATCATGAATTCTACAAGCGGCATCAATGCATTCAAAACCTAACCAAATGAAAACAGCCACCAAAACAGGACCAAACTTGTACACAGCACTTCTGATGTTAAATGGCCATATGGGAGACTGTACCTCATTTGTGGAAAGCCTGCTTGCATGTTATTCTTCAATGTTCTTTTCCCAGGATGAAGATAAGGGGGTCACGGCTGGCGAATGGCTGGGCAAATACTACTTCCACTGCGCTCCAAAGCGTGGTCTTTTCGTGAAGCTGCAGTCCTGCCAGCCCGATGTTCGCTTCCAGTGTTCGCGCAACAGTGACCTGAGCCTTGTGGATTACAGTGAGTTCTCTGGGGAGAGGGAAGGCAGGGCCGTGCTGGGACGAGGCATGCTACGGAGAAGCCTCATGCACAGTGTCTTAATCAGCGGTTTAGTAATTCTTCACTTTCTTTGAGAGTTCCAAAAGATGTCAGTTTTAAGAATGCTGACGTTGCTATGGTGGTATTTATAGGGAATGCCCCACGAGTGTGAGAGATGGTAAGTTACTTAACGTAGACGAGGGCATTGAATATAGAATCATAGAATCATTTGGGTTGGGACCTTAAAAGTCATCTAGTCCAACCCCCTGCCATAAGCAGGGACACCTTCAACCAGAGCAGGTTGCTCAGAGCCCCGTCCAACCTCACCTGGGATGTTTCCAGGGATCGGGCATCTACCACCTCTCTGGGCAACCTGGGACAGGGTTTCACCACCCTCATCATAAAAAATTTCTTCCTTGGATCTAGTCTAAATCTCTCCTCTTTTAGCTTAAAACTGTTACCCCTTGTCTATCACAACAGGCCTTGCTAAATATTGTGAGTGGCTCTAAAAAATGAAGCCTCGGTGGCATGGGTTTTTTGGAGAAGGGGAAGCTGGCAGGAAACATTGGGGTGTAACAGAGGGTAGAATTCCAGAGCAACAGTTTTTGCAAGGCATTGTGAATGCTGCAAGCAAGGCAGGGCTCTTCTGCCTGTGGTTTTCAGGGCAGGAGAAAAGGTCTTGTGTAATTGAGATTTGAATGTGGACAAGTGTTTTAGCTATTGGGCCTGGCCTAGCTACCGTACCGTAAACGCTGGGCAAACATAGACCAAGCGTGGGGGTCTGGAGAATCGGAGTGGGTAACTCAGGCTCATGGCCAAGATGTCAGGTGATAATGGTGTTGCACCTGGGGACTGAGAAATAAGAGAGAGAGAGGATTAAATCAAATTTAACGTACAGCTTGATGTGACGATAAGACATTCACAAGAAGATATGGGGAAGAACAGGTCAGTATTTTCATTTGAAAAGGAAGAAATTCCTCCAGAGCAGAGAAGACAACATGAACTAGCCATTTAGGAAATGTAAAAGAGATCACTGTAAACAAGAAGACAGGATTGCTGTAGGGACTGCCCAAAAACTGGGAGTAGGGATAAGGAAGAATGTCATAAGGACATGCTGAAGAGAGGGGAGGGGATTGAATTAGAAGGGAAGAATGCTGAAGAAACCAGAAGAGACCAGATTGAGAAATTCACCTTTGAAGCTTAAAGGAGACAACAGGCCAGCGGGATGAGGCTATTAAAACACAGTTGCCTGTTTGTCCCCTTGCTACTGGGGATGTAGGTTTTTCAACAGAGAGATCCCAAGCTTGCACATAACACAGCACTAGCTCGTTTATAGCTCTTTTTGTCTTCGTTAGACTTGGTGTAACGATGGCAGAGGTTAGGGCATGGCTTTGGTAAAGAAGAGATGGTTTGGTTTTGTCTTCATTTCCCATAGATGAATTACTGAAGAGACAAGTCCTCATCCCAATGTGGTTGAGTCCCAGCAGGAGCAGCGCAGAGGAGCCAGGTGCTGACCTCTGAGCAGAGCTCTGGGGCACCAGGGAAGGGCAAAGTTGACCCACACAAGATGGGAAGCTAAAGGGAGTTGCTTCTGTTCCTTCTTTTGCAGGAGGGCAGGAAGGTCTGCCACAAGCTCCAGACAGCTTTCCTCCCCTCAGGGACGAGGCAGCAGTGCATGTCCTGCAGGGGCGGATGAAAGGGATCCAGGGCCACTGTAATTCCTGCTATATGGACGCAGCTCTTTTCAGGTGAGGACCTACTCAAGTGGTGCCATTTCATTAAATGAGTGCTTTTTTTTAATTGAGCAGAGCCCTAAACTGCAGCACTTCCCTGGACTTCGAAGGTGGCTGGGAATTTACCCAGTATAGAGCAGAATATAACTGTGGAGACGCAGCCTTGATGCTTGCTGCTTTTTGATCTCCTTCCTAATCTGGTAGGTTCTCAGGCCCTGAAGTACCCCTCGTGAGTACCTAAGGTACCCATGTGTCTGTCGTGCAGGGTGGTGAGAGATCGTAGTTCTCTGGACTTGGATTGTGCTGACTCTGTTACTGGAGGTAGTGGCTGAAAACGTTTCAAAGAAACTGCCCAGGAGGTCCCAGCTTCACTGTGCAGCACTGTTTGGAGAGGAAAAGACTCAGTGGTGCCTCACCCTGCCCCCCAGCAGTTTTGGCTGCAAAGTACAAGATTTCATTCTCTCTGAACGTTTCCTTGCTTACTACCAGTGTTCATTAAACCAGATGTGGTTTATTTCACTGCGGGGACGCACTGTCACTCACCTTTCTGTAATTGCATGCATGGACTGTTGAAAATAAAAGCCACCGACTGTCACCAAGCACAACGGTTTGGTTCTAACTACTGCTGCAAACCCATCAGTTAATAGCACTCTCTTTTCACAGCCTCTTCTCCTGTACATCTGTGCTGGACTCCATGCTTTTCAAGCCCTTCCCACTGTGTGACAGGAACATCCAGAGCATTCTGCGAGATGAGATTGTTAGTCCCCTCCGAAAGTGAGTATAGTATGTGGGAATCCTGGAAGTCATCCATCTGCCTTCATACCTTCTCTGCTGCCCTGCCAGATGATACCTGTCACTGAGGGAAAGGGTTACCTGGAGGGTTTCTCCTGCCAGCCACATCCAAAGATTTTCATATCAGGTTTCTCTTCCAGTTGTTCCTTTTACCAGGTTGCAAGGCTGTCATGACTCCTACTGCATGTACCTGAGTCTCTCCAGCTCAGAAGGAAGCCTTGTGAGCTGTAGTTATCAGTGAAAAGATGAAAGGGGGATTCCTGGGGTTGCGACCACCTCTGTGGAGGAACCCTGGAGGTGACAAAACAGTGGCATTAGTCCCAAAGGCAGTATGCAGTGCCAGGCCAGATGAGGGAAGACTGTGGCACGAGAGCTAAATTCTCTGGAATTTGTATCAAAGATAGCAGGTTCCTTCCTCATCCTCCTTAGAGAGGTGTGGAAGAGAGGCATGGAAGAGGGGCATGGAAAGCTGATTGAATGTAAGACATCAGCATCTTCCTTGAGGAGCAGTGTCCTGGCACTGGCTCTAGAAATACAACCCTGAGGCGTTTGGTGATGCTGAGATGTGATTGAGAGCAGCTCTGCCGAGAAGGATTTGGGGGTCCTGGGGGATGAAAAGCTGGACAGGAGCTGGCAACGTGTGCTCGCAACCCAGAAGGGTGACCGTGTCCTGGGCTGCACCTAAAGCAGTGTGGCCAGCAGGGTGAGGGAGGGGATTCTGCCCCTCTGCCCCGCTCTGGGGAGACCCCCCTGCAGGGCTGCATCCAGCTCTGGAGCCCTCGGCACAGGAGAGACATGGACCTGCTGGAGCGGGGCCAGAGGAGGCCCCAGCAACGCTCCAAGGGCTGGAACAGCTCTGCTGGGAGGACAGGCTGGGAGAGCTGGGGGTGTTCAGCCTGGAGCAGAGAAGGCTCCGGGGAGACCTTCCTGCAGCTGCCAGGGCTGAGGGGCTGATAAGAAAGATGGGGACGGGGTTTTTAGCAGGGCCTGTAGCGATAAGACAAGGCGTAATGTTTTTAAACTAAAAGAGGGGAGATTTAGACTAGATCTAAAGAAGAAATGTTTCACAGTGAGGGTGATGAAACCCTGGCCCAGGTTGCCCAGAGAGGTGGTAGATGCCCGATCCCTGGAAACATCCCAGGTCAGGTTGGATGGGGCTCTGCTGTGGTTGAAGATGTCCCTGCTCATGGCAGGGGGTTGGACTAGACGAGCTTTAAATGTCCTTTCCTACGCAAACCATTCAATGATTCTATGATTTAAATACACTGTAGAGATCATCTGCAGCTGCTTCTTGTTTCTAGGACTGGCTTCGTCAGGGCTAGCAGTGTGATGCACCTTAGGGAGCAGCTGACTGAAAAAGGCCAGTGTTCCAGCTTTACCAACGCTGAGAAAGGTAATATGCCCTCTGGGGCCTCCCCGAGGCTGCTTCGCTGTGCGCCGCCTCATCCAGGCACCAGGCTGACAACTTCATTTTATGCTTCTCTCAGGCACGTGAATTACTATGTCTGCTGTGCTGTTCATCTATGTAAAAATGTACATGTAAAATACTTTACAGCTGTTAAAATTCTACAGGCTTTTAAACTGAAATTTGTCCTGAAGTCTGATAGAAAAATAGGAATTGCTGGGTCTCTACCTGGTGGCAGCTGTTTCTAAAAGGGGAGAGGAAGATCTGCGTGAACAGAATTTAAACAGGGGAAATTTCCTTCTCCTTTATACTTTGAGTTATACCCTGATAAGTCCATCCCTGATGTCCCTGCTAGAATCCAGTTTGATTTATCATTTTACCAAGATCAACTTGTGTATGAGTTCTGACAAGCTATTTGAGCTTCCTCAAAGACTGTAGTCAGGTTAAAATAAGACAAAAAACACCTACATCTGAAACCCACCAATCTCTGGTTACAATCACCACATTCCCATCCGTGAACAGCAAGCCCCCATTGTAGTTTACAACAAGGAGCCAGATTACATCAATGCCAAACATCACTGCAACAACCTCTAAGTATCTGGATACCAAATGAGCAGCATTGATTCTTCCAGAAACAGCAGGTATCTTGTCAGTGAACAGCACTTGTGTTTTGTACTATTGTGTATTTATTTTAACCAGGGATAGTTTAACTGTTCAGTTTCTCGAATTTCCATAGCTGTTCCTGATTTACTTTGAGTTTATACTTTGGTGTTAGGTTAAGGTCTCTGAGATGGTGTTGCTGTAATGGCCGGGGCTTGTAAGAGTGCAGCATCTGAGGGCTGGTTTGCTTTTTTCATGCTCGCCATAGGATTTATGCATTAACTAAGTGCTCTCAGCTTTTATCCCAGTTGTCCCCTTACCTAGAATGAAAGAGGAGATCCCAGGTTCACAAAATGCTAGCTCAGATTTATCTGGCAGCTTTTGCCTACTGGATGCAGTGGGGCAAGGCAGTCCTTGTGTGGTGTGACACATATTTTCCTTTGACCTTCCAGATCCTGAGGAGTTTCTCAATCTCATAATGCATCAGATCCTAGGAATAGAGCCACTCTTAAAACTGCAGTAAGTTTCCATATCTAAGTGATATTTTACTTATAAGTGATAGGTAGGTAGATAGATAGATAGATAGATAAGTGATAATTTACCCAGGCCAGGCTTGTTAGTTATCCACCTCAAGATCACCAGGTGTTGCACGTTATCATCAAGGCTTCGGAGGCACAGCTCAGTGAGTTGTGTGCAGCTCCTCTCTGCTGTCCGTATGGTCTTGCTTGTTGTGATCTTGTCTCAGGTGACACATCCAGGAAAAGACATTTTTAATCTCTCCCTGGAGGAGAGAAAACGAGGATAAAACCCTTGTCTCATCCTTAGGGTGAGCCAGCAGTGGTTCGAGAAACGTAGTGTCCAACTTCAGTGCAGAACCAGCAGTATCTGGCAGCCTTTGGATGCGTTTGGGATGTGTCCAGACTGTCAAGCTGGCTCAGGTCCTACAGCCTCTCAAACAGGCAGTCCATGGATGCAGTCCCAGTTTTTCAGGACTCTACAAAGAGGATGAGAGGCTGAAGGAAGCCAAAAATAACTGTGCTGTTCAGGAGCATAGAAGGGGATTGTTCGATTTCTGTGCTCCTTTGTTGAGATGTCAGTCAAGTCGTAGATCGTGGAGTACTCAGAAAGGCTGAGCACAAAGACAGCTCTGTACTGCAGCTCCCCTGCAGAGAGTCATCTGAAGGAAATCCTTTCTCTGCTGGCTCAGGGATGTAGGGGTTGTGGGAGATCTTCTGCACACAACTCACCTTTTGAATGCACTAAGTTTTGCTTTGTGGCTTTTGTATTTGCAGTTATAAGTGGATTTTTCATCTGAGGAGTTTGCTGATTGTGCCACAGTGCAGTTGATTTAAAAAATATTGAAATGTCTTTTAATATTTACATCGACGAGGGAAAATTGAGTTTTGCTTATAGGAGCAGGATGTGATGCTATGGAGGGATAATGAGACCAAAGATGGTCCCATGGCACGTACTTAGTATTTCTGGGTGGAAAAAGCGCTTCGTGTCAGTGTTGCACCAAGCAGCCCTTGGTGCCTTGGGCCCAGAAGCTCTTACAGGACAAAGACGGTATGTCCTCAGGGAGCTCAGATGTTTGTGGCGCCACGTAAACAAGCCCCCTGACCACTCCTTGCAGGTCAGGAGGCCAGAAGGAGCAGGACTGTTACTGTTACCAGATATTTATGGACAAACAGGAGGATCTGGTGGTTCCTGACGTCCAGCAGTTAGTGGAACACTCCTTCCTGTCCTCTGATCTGAAGCTAGTGGAGGTGAGCCCAGCTACCTTCTGCCTATGCTGCTGCTATCTGCTGCCTCTTTCTTGCTTCCTCCAACATACCTATGCCTGCCAGTGGGTCTAGTCTTACATCCAACACTGCAAAGCATCAGGATACACCCACAAGAGAGAGGTCTTGGGGAATCTGAGTGTGACCTGGGAAGAGGGCTATGCTTTCTCTGTTGCTGTTTTGTCTTGTGGATAACTGGAGCAGAAAGCCTTTACTCCCAGCAGCAATATGGAAAGAGCAGCCTCTGGGGCTTGTCTCTTCTGGCAGGATGACTCGTTTGCCTTTCTTTTCCAGATCCCATCTTGCTTCATTATCCAAATGCCACGTTTTGGGAAGGATTATAAAATGTTCAGCAAAATCACTCCTTCCTTGGAGCTGGATATAACAGATCTGCTGCTTGACAGTAAGTTGTTGGGCAATGGTAAAGCTGCCGTCTGGGATTGTGAGCAACCAGGTGACAGGTCTCACCTCTTTGGGTTGTGAGCAGATGTAAGGTGGGATCACGGTGTGATGATTCTTCCCTGAACACCAGTTTTGGCAGAACAGGTTGGATTTCAGGTTAGATCTGAAGAAGACACATGCTCTCACCCCTGTTGCCCCTGCAGGTCCCAGGGAGTGCTGCGTGTGCGGTGATGTCGCCACCTTGGAGTGTTCGGACTGTTTCAAAGACAAGGTATTCGCAGCTACGGGCCTGAAGCAGTTCTGCAGCTCCTGCTCCAGACAGGTATTCCATTTCTTTGGGTGCTTGTGAAATCTGTTTCGGTGGCTGACAGCAGATTGCACCCCCCAAAACACCCATGTTTCCCTTGCAACCATTCAGGTTGGGCACAGAGGGGCCCCTTCATAGAATTATAGAATAGTTTGCATTGGAAGAGACTTTTAAAGGCCATCTAGTCCAACCCCCTGCAGTGAGCAGGGTCATCTTCAACTAGAGCAGGTTGCTCAGAGCCCTGTCCAGCCTGACCTGGGATGTTTCCAGGGAAGGGGCACCTACCACCCCTCTGGGCAACGTGGGACAGGGGTTCACCACCCTCATCATAAAAAATTTCTACCTTATGTCTAGTCTAAATCAACTCCCTTGTAGGTTTTTAAAACCATTCCTGAGCATCAGTCCCACTGCCCGTATCAGTTGCATGAGCGGGGTTAGGTGCCACACATTATTGAACCCTCTGCTTACATAAACTAAATTATGGACAGATCTTGCACAGACTTGAGTGCTGGGTCTCACCAGGAGAGTTCCTACAGCTTTCTGGCCTTTCTTGGAGGGTGGCAGACTCTTGTCTCAGCTTCTCGCTGCCGGCCTGTTGACACAATGCCATTCTCTGGCATGCAGGGACCATGGGACTCAGATCAGTGGGGAATAAACTGGGGGTCTGACCACTGCACACTCCTTTTTCTCAGGCCAGGTTCTCAGATGTGCCACCCCGTCATCTCTCCTCAGGTTCACTCCCACTACCGACGCAAAACACACAAGCCAACTAGGTTGCACATCCCAGAAGAGTTTCACAGCCGGAGTCCCCGGGGCAGCCAGCAGGTCCCTCGTGAGAAGATGGAGCTCTTTGCAGTGCTCTGCATCGAGACCAGTCATTACGTCTCCTTCGTGAAATATGGTCCCGAGAACGAACACTGGATGTTCTTCGACAGCATGGCTGACAGGCATGGTAAGGACACGGTGGTGGGCTCAGAGCTTTGATCGCAGCCGCGCGCTGTGCAGTGGGGCAGCTGTGAGGGTCTGCAGTGCTCATTGCATAGGTTCTGATCAGTCCACCTTTTCTTCTGAAGCCCCCTAGATGATTTAGGCTCTCTCTGGACCCTGCTTCCAACAGTGACCATTTAAGTAGGCCCCAAAGAAGAGTATGGCCAAGCCAAGCACATGTGAATTCCCCCTCGTGCTTTCATGCTCTGGCTGTGTTCAAACAAGGGACTTGTCGAGCCAGATGGGACTGGCTGCCATGTGGGTGAGGACCATCCTCCTGTCCTTGCCCACTTTGTTGTTGGCCTCCAGATCTCTCAGCTAAGACACTACGTTACTGTCGAGTGTGATGGTATCTGCTCAAGCTGTAGGTACTCGTCCCTTGGGACCTGTTTTAGACTTTTCTCCTTCTTTCTGGATTAGGTGATGAAAACGGCTTCAACATTCCCACAGTAACGCTGTGCCCTGAAGTTGCCAAATACCTGGACTTGCCACTGGCTGTGCTGGCCCTGGAGCAACCTCGGGACATGGATGGAGTAGCCAAGCGCCTCTTCTGTGACGCCTACATGTACATGTACCAGAGCAAGAAGATGGCACTTTACAAATGACACTGTCTTGGGCTGGTGCTGCAGAGCAGCGAGGCTTCAGAAACATGAGCTTGGATCAACCCTGCAGCTCATAGCCAGTGAAAGCAGCTGAGTCTGGGTGCACCAAGCTTGCACTTCTGCCTCTTCTTACCTCTTCCAGTGTCTGGTATCGAGCTATCCACAGCCTGTCTGGGCTTGTTAAATCTTGTACCCAGCCTTATCAAGTGATAGTACTTCCTGCAGACCTGGACACTGAATTATTTACACTCAAATTCATTCTCACTTCCTACCTTCCCTTTCCAGCCTCCTTCCTTCCCAGGCACTCTGCAGCTCTGCCTGACCTCACAGTCCTCCCCAACATCCTTTTCTTGCTGCCAGCCCTTCCCTCCTAAGCCGAGGACCAGCATCTAATTAAAACATGAGCAGTTATCCTCAGGTTTGCAAAGAACACAAGAAAACCGCAGCCTCGCCCTGCGTAAGACATCCTCACGTGGACTTGCAGAGTGAGAAAACCAGGACGTGTGAGCTGCACCGGTGTGATTAAGAGATGGGTCAGGATGAGGGTTTTTCTTGAGGTCTGGGATGCGACGCCACACCTAAAGGTGGGTCCCTGAATTGTCTGCACTTCCCTTACCCAGCACTAATATTCTGGCACTTTTACCCACCATCCCTTATTTTCAACCATGAGATTAATTGGATGTCTTGAGCTGCAAATATGCTTTAGAAGTACATATTTTTGCAAGACCAATACTGGAAGAAAGATGGAGCTGAGGAGCAGCATGTGAGCTCATTATGCCGTCTTCTTTTTTTGCAAAGACTGCACTATTGCTACACGATTGGGTGTTTTAAGCTCACTTTTAGCACTTACTGTCCCATCTTTGCATCTGCTTCTGAGATCTGTGCCAGAGACCAATAACAGAATTCCAAGGGAAGAAATGGAAAAAATGAGCTCTCTTGGATTTTCTGCCATGACAAATAAGGTTTAGGGTCTCTGGGTTGGGAACTGGTGTTCCTCAAGTAACTTAAATTTGCAAACTGGGGGTTTTCTGACATTAAGCACATGCTGTCATGGCAGTGGGAAGCTGTTACGGGAGTCAGCGCTATGAACTGGCTTGCCCAGATTCCATGTTGCACTGCTGCGACACTAAAACCTTGAGGGACGCATCCAGGAGCCCCAGATGTGCAGCAGGGATCTCCCACCTGTTTGTTTTTTTTTTTTTCTCTTTAACACAGGGTGCAGTAACTGTAATATGCAGCCTGTAGCTTTATGTCGGTCTTGTTGGCTTGAGCCACACAATGCACATGGCTTAGGGTCTTTTTGCTGATGGCAGGGTTGTGATGCTAACTGGGACCTCAACAGCTTGACGGCTCCATCGGCTTTCTGGTGTGTCTCTTATTTCTGTACGTGGTGGCTACAAAGGACAGCTGGTGTTGTAATGAACCCAGACTGTTAACAAACAGTGAATGTCTGTTCAGCTTCCAAATGTCCTTGCTGAGCATTTCAGCCTCAACACCAAGTTGACCACAAGGCAGCAATGTATCCTCGTGGCACAGAAAGTGAACAATGTCCTGGGCTGCACTCGAAGTGTTGCCAGCAGGTCAAGGGAGGGGACACGCCTGAAGTACTGGATCCAGTTTTGAGCTGCCCAGTACAAAAGAGATGAAGACAGTCCAGTGAAGGCCATGAAGATGATGATGGGACTGGAGCATCTCTCCTGAGGAAAGGCTGAGAGAGCTGGGACTGTTCAGCCTGGAGAAGAGAAGGCTCAGGGGAAAACTTATCAATGTCTGTAAACGCCTGAAGGGAGGGTGCAAAGAGGACGGTGCCAGGAGCTTCTCCGTGGTGCCCAGTCACAGCACCAGAGGCAATGGGCACAAACTGAAACACGGCAGGTTCCGTCTGGACATCAGGAAACGCCTCTTCACTGTAAGGGTGACAAGCCCTGGGTTAGGTTACCTGGAGAGGTGGTGGCGTCTCCATCACTGGAGAGACTCAAAATGGTTCTAGGCAAAGCCAAAGCACCAGCGAGTTGAAGAGTCTGTCTAGGGGTAGGAAAGATGGTGGCAGATCTAGCAACAGATCATCCTGAGGATGGGTTTACCCTGCTCCTGCTTGTGAACTGACATACAGACCTCTGGATGATCCTTGTGGCCATGGACAGGACTGAGGATGCTGCTGTCTCACTGTCTTCCTTCGTCTGCTTAAAGCTGCTCTTCATTCCTTCTCTCTTAAGAACTCAGGACAATCTCTACTCAGGTACGCTGGGGGTTGGGCTTTTCTATTTCTGGTGCTTCTACTCTAAAATATGTAAGTTTTAATAGCAAACTGCTTTTGGTTTTCCTGGAGCTTTTTCTTCTCTTAAAACGCTAAGTGTGAGACAGTGCCCCCACAGCTGGAGCACTGCAACAGGGAGCTCCAGCCTCTTGGATTTTTTTAGAAACAAGAGAGCATCCAGCCTTGTTCGTTAAACTCTCGTTTCCCCCATCAGCATGTGCCGCAAAGATCTAAACAAGATCTAAACCACGGCTGTTCCTGGGAGGGTGTGCAAACGCAGGCTTAGGCTTTGTGTGTGGGGATGTGCAGGTGCATCTCACTGGGCATTTTCCTCTTGCCCTCCCTCACCGCACCTTTCTGATGGGTGGCTCAGTTTTGGGTCTGTACGTTTCACAAGCTCAGGTGAAAGCATTTACTATCTCCCTGTTACAGCTTTGGGCAGGGTTAGAGAAAATATGAGTATCTCAGAGAAGATTCAGTCCGTGCAGGTTTTTTTCCCACTCATGCAATGACTTTTCTTGACCCTGTTTTGATAAAGCCTTCAAACAGTCATTGCTTGGGCATGAGACCTACCCCCCAGTGGAACTACAAAGGGGTTTGCACTGGAATTAGGGTCATAGGATGCTATGAAATGGGGCTGTGAGGCACCTGCTGGGGCTACCTCCAGGTGCTGTCATGGGTCAGCACTTGCTTTTTCATGCCGACTTTATTCTGTCATAAACCATGAAGTGAAGGACATTGAATTAAACGTTCAAGCTGCAGGCAACAAGTGTTTTGAAAGACCAAGGCAGCCACGCAGTGTGGGTGTTAGCTGTGGTGGATAAAGGCCTTTATTTAATTTTTTCGCTTAGGATGAAGTTAATTGCAGGGATTAGTGCCATGCTTCCTCTATGGATATCATGTTAAGAGAGTGCAGGCATCAATGTGGAGCCAGCCTCAACGCCCCAGGGAACAGATACAACATGGAAAGATACAAGAAGTGGCCACAGAGCCAACACTTAGAATGCCACAGATGTGCCATGGCATGGGTTGCGGGGACAGGCTGGCCCTTCCTGTGGTAGGACCTCTTCTTGTGCACTCAAGACTTGGTCTCTAGAGCCACTGAGGAGCTTCAGCATGGGCTGCCACCACAGAAGATGCAGGGTTGGCAGGGCCACCGAGGTGAGCAGCGCTGCCATAGCAGAAGGCATAGGGTTGGCAGGGCCACCAAGACAGGCAGCACGGCCATGGCAGAAGGTGCTGGTCTGGCAGGCCCACTGAGGAAGGCAGGGAAGGACTTGTCGCTTCCAGAGGACATGGGGGCAGCTCCCTCCCAGTGCTGCCTGCCTTATCCCAGCTTTGCTCCTGGGACCCCAGGGAGCGCTTCCAGTTCCTGCAGGGTCCTCACATTAGCACTGTACAGCAGCAACGTCAGTAGAACCATTAATTCCTAATTAGTCACATGGTCTTCAAAAGAGCGCAGAGGAAGAGCTGGCCCCAGGCAGGGCTATGCCTGGTGTGGGCTGGTGCAGCATGGGGGGCAAGCAGGGACGCAGAGGAAGAGCTGGCCCCAGGCAGGGCTATGCCTGGTGTGGGCTGGTGCAGCATGGGGGTGAGGAGGCGGTGCAGCCTCTCTGTCACAGCCACCTGACATGGGAGTGAGAGGGGATGGTGAGCGTGGGCTCCCCAGAAGGGACTGCAGCCCCATATCCATGTGCCACTGCAGCTCCATGGTGAGGCTACACTGGCTTTGCCCAGGCCACCAGGGCCGGGCAGGGTTCCTGGGCATGTACCCATGGTGCCTGGTGAGAAGTGGACATACCGGGTATGGGTGGGGCTCACAGAGCCGGCGGTGAACAGGGCTGAGCAGGCTGAGGGACGCCTGCGCATGGCTCCTCACCTCCAGCAGGCTGGGCAGTGGCTCACACACCTGCAGGATGGAGGTGTATGACCACACCCATGCAGGGTGCTGGCCACCCAGCCCCACTGCCCAGTGAGCTAGCTCCAGGCTGGACTCGGATGCCACCATGTCCAGGGTGGCACCTGGGTTGTTGGGACAGGGGACATCTCAGATGCAAGGAAACACTGGGGTTTAACCCTTTGATTCAGCCATTACTGACAAGACACCACCACCCTGGCTTGGTCATTCACCCAATGTGGAGGAGGACACCCCAACACCAGAAGGTAGAGCCACCACCTCTGACCTGGCCATCTCTGAAGTATGTGCGATGGAGGGGCTCCACGGTGGTGGGCATGACTTTGCTGGCCTCACCAAGCCACCCCAGGACACGGACCGTCAGCTCCTGCCCCACACTGGGTGCGGGCTCCTCCTCCAGGGCCATGAGGTCCATGAAGGGGTGACCTGCAGGGGTGCCAGGTTAGGGGCCAGTGGGTGTGTGGGACAGCAGGGACAGGGTTATGAGGGAGGGATGCAGGTCAACAGGGCAGCACCATGGCAAGGGTGTCCTAACTCACCAGCAGGATCATAGAGCCGATAGATCGTCTTAGTCCCTGGGATTGTCATCTTCTCCTCGTCTTCTGTGAGCTTCAGGCATGGGGAGCCATTGACCTCCACCAGCTGTAAGCAGAGGAGGTTATGGAGATGGTCACCTTATTTTTGTCACCTGCACCAGCTCATGCTGCTGCTGGGGACCGTGCTGAGCTCTGTATTCTCTGCATGTGTCCCTGGATGCTAGGGAGGCCACTGATGCAAACCAGCTGAATAAATAATTAAAAAAACCCCCTCAAACCACCCCAAAATTGGAGATCCTGCCTCCTCCTGCCTGCAAGCTTCTTGTTACAGTGGTCTC